CCCCCCTCTGGCAGGTTTTAGCCGAGGCAGCAGGGGGGGCCGGAGCCTGAGCCTGAGCCGGATTAACGGCCGGTCCCCCCCGCTGGAGGGGAATCGCTCATGCCCCTCTAGAATCCGCGCCCCTACCTACGCTCAGAGCACAGCGGGGTGCCCGGCCCAGGCTGCCACCCCTTCCCAGTGCATTGCGCCAGGGGGCTCCTAGCGCCTTTCAAAGTCAGCCCCGCCCTGCTGCACCTGCCCAGCTCAATGACTAATCAATTAGTTAAACTAGATTTAACAGCCCACATTACAAGAACGGCTCTACTGATATTTCACGTATTTGCTTCAGTGAGAAACCTCAGCCAGACCAATGATCCATCTAGCCCAGCATCATCTGCCAACAGTGCCCAGGAGATGCCCCAGAGGGAGGGAACACAACAGGTAATCCTGATGGGATCCCTCCTGTCAGCCACCTGCAGAGAAACAAAGGCTAGGGCCACCATTCCTACCCATCCTGGCTAATCGATTCATGGAGGTTAGGTCCATCAATGGCTATCTAGCTCTTTTTTGAACCCTGTTCAATTTGTAGCCTTCACCACATCCTCTGGCAAGGAGTTCCACAGGTTGACGGTGCGCTGTGTGATAAACTTCCTTTGTTTTTTTTTAAACCTACTGCCTCTTAATTTCATTTTATGAGCCCTAGTTCTAATACTGTGGGAATAAGTAAATAACATTTCCTTATTTACTTTTTCCACATTAGTCAATTTTATAAGCCTCTATCCTATTCCCCCTTAGTCTCCTCTTTTCTAAGATGAAAAGTCCAAATCTTTTTAATCTCTCTTCACAGGGGACCCATTGTAAACCCCTAAAAATTTTTGTTGCCCTTTTCTGAACCTTTCCTTATTCTTTATCCCTTTTTTAATGACGCCTAACATTCTATTTGCTTTTTTGACTGCGCTGCGCACGGAATGGATGTTTTCGGAGAACTATCCACAATGACTCCAAGATCTTTCTTGAGTAGTTGTAGCCAAATTAGTCCCTATCATATTGTATATATAGTTCGGATTAGTTTTCCCAATGTGCATTAGTTTATATTTATCAACATTAAATTTTATTTTCCATTTTGTTGCCCAATCAGTTAGTTGGGTGAGATCTTTTTGAAGCTCTTCACAGTCTGCTTTGCTCTTAACTATATTGAGCAGTTTGGTATCTGCAAATTTTCAGAGCCCTTGACTCACAACAGACCATGATTGGTGCAATCCACATCTAAGGAATTTTTCTGCCAACTTGCAGACAAGCAGGTAAGCAACAGCTGCTAAGCAATGAGTCAGGCATGGACATGTGGCAAACTGCATCTTGAACACACTACGCAGTGAGAAGAATGGAATTCCCTGCATTTGGTCTGCATGCCAGTTCATCAGTGCAGGAGCAGCTTTACTATGAACTGAGGCCAGGACTGATGGCCCATCCTACCAAAGGATGTATTCCAGAGACTTATTTATTCCATCTCAACTACAGGCCTGCACCAGGAACTTTGTGGTTAGTGTGTGCAATTTGTTTCCTTCAGCAAATTTTACTCTCAACCTTTCTTTTATGAATAAATCTTTAAGGGTGGGCACAGCATGCTCTGTTGGGTGAGATCGGAGGTATAAAGTGACCTGGGAACGTGGCTTGGTCCTTTACAGTTAGAATAACCTCTTTGGATTTGTGAACCTGTCAGCAGTGCAATGAGTGAACTGCTGGTGATAAAGGAAATGCTGCAGGGCTTGAAGGGATTGCTTGGTTGCCTGCTAGCCAGTGGGGTGTACTCTGAGTGGGGTCCTTCCCTATGAAGCACCACACCAGTCCTGGACTGCAAGCAGGCATGTGTTAAAGCAATTTGCCCTGATTTGATCCTCTCAACAGTGCCCACAGAACCTGTTACATTACACATCCATCCAGGGTGAGACCCTTCCCGTGGCTACATTCCCCCATCCAGTCCATCGAACAAACAGCTCCGCCTCACCCTTACACCCTGGGAGCCAGTGCTAGATCCACCGAGGGAGCGTGGGCACTGGCCCACAGCAGGCAGCGCTTGCTCTCTCACTTCCTGCTTGTTTGACACACACCCCTTCCAGGAGGCAGGAACAAGATACCAAAACACTCCTCTTATTTCTCCAAAAACAGCTTTTTAGAAAGCAGAGTTTTGTACACTCTCGTGTAGAAAAGATCACAGTTGGGCCGGGGCCAGGGCCAGGCCAGCTCTTCTAGTAAAAACGCTTGTTCCTCTCCTGCCGTCTCTGGAACACCACAGCCCCCACCACAGCACACACAATGATGCCCAGCAAGGCGCAGAGCAGCAGCAGGAACACCTTCCAGCCAGTCAGGGGCCCACTTCGGAAGTTCCCTGTAGGGTCATCCACGTTGTCTGTAGGCAGGAAAGAGCAAGGCTTACAGCAGAATGCTCTGCCCCACAAGTCTCCCACTTCCCACCTCGGGCTTGGTCTCCCATCTCTCAGATGGCTGAATGGGCTACGGCTGATGTGCCAAATCCCTCCCAAAAGAATGGCTTTTGGGCAGGTCAATATCCATGTCTGGTGTTCCTGCGTTAAGAACAGGCAAGGACATTCCATTGCTCAGGCTGGGGTGGCAGAATCTCCATTCCACCTCCGGGCTGTGTGGAAGACATGCCCTCCCACCAGTGATGCTACGTGGATCTTCCATTGCTTGTGGCTGAGGGCTCAGCATCGGTCAGTCTAGGTCTTTGCCAGGCCACCACCTTTCTGAGGTCTCGAGGGATGACACAGGAACCCTCCATCTTAGGGCCCACAGGGCTCACCTTTTGGGGACTTAAGGAGGCTGACGCTGGGCTCGATCTTTGTCCAGTCAATGTTCTCTTCCTCCGGTGGATGCTCTACCATCAGCTGAAATAGCTTCATTGAGATGATGTCATGATTGTCTAGGAAACAAGCACCGGTATGATGTCACGGGGTCACAGTGCTCTCCGAGCTGCATGGCCACAAAGGCACGGGAAAGATTCCTCTCTGTCTCTGGCGGGCTTTTCTTGGGAGAGGCTTTCCCCACGCCTAGCCAAGGAGCCTGCTCTTTCCCAGACTGCTGGTCTCCTCTCCTGTGCCGAGTGCCCAGGCCACCCACCCCCAGAGCAGACTGCAGTTTGAAAGGAGCGCTCACCAGACAGGTCCCCCGTGCCAGCAGAAGCCCCAAAGAAGTAGCCAGTGGGCAGTCGGACCCCTGCAATGTCGATGCAGTTCTTCCACTCATTCTTGTCCTCCACATCCGTCATCACCTGCCCAGAAAGGGAAACTTCACCAGAGGAAGAAGCAGCAAGGGCTTCAGAGTCTTCCCAAGGGAGCACCCCATGAGGCCCCGCCCTCAGCAAAGCTAGAACTAGAGTGTGGCTAGGGAGCCCCAGCTGGCCGTCAGAGTGGGGCTCCCTGCCCATATCCAAGCCCCAGGGCTCCCAGACCAGGACAGATTGAAATGGAGGGGCTGAGCTGGCTCCCCATAGCTGTCTGTGCGGCTCCATCCAAGGGTGGGGCCTTGGAGCTGTAGCCCAACCAGGATCAGAGCCTCACAGGCAGCTGTGGACCTTCCATGCAGTGCGGGCAGGCTCCTGCTGTCAGAGTGGGGCTCCCTGCCCATATCCAAGCCCCAGGGCTCCCAGACCAGGACAGATTGAAATGGAGGGGCTGAGCTGGCTCCCCATAGCTGTCTGTGCGGCTCCATCCAAGGGTGGGGCCTTGGAGCTGTAGCCCAACCAGGATCAGAGCCTCACAGGCAGCTGTGGACCTTCCATGCAGTGCGGGCAGGCTCCTGTAAGCCACCTCCGGCTTGTGTCCTCACCCCTCATCCCTAGCAGGTGTAAGGGCCACGTTGCAGCCCCCCCACAGATGCCTGCATGGCTCTTACCATAACCAGGCTCTGGCTTGGAGGACCCCCTCCTGGCCAGAGTCGGGGAAAGCTGTGTGGGCAGCTGGTGTGGAATTGCAGACTCTCCACCTCCCCTGGGGAGGCATGCAGGCAGGTGAGGGTCCACGTGTGTGGCTTCCACACTGCCCAGGCTCCCTTCCCTAGCCAGGCTCCAAAATGGGCTCTCTCAGGGCTGGGGCCTCGGGGGGGGAAGAGGGTGGGTCCACCCCATTGAAAAGTGGCCAGGCCAGGCACTGGCTTTGAAAAAGTGGGAAGGCCCTGGCCCCCACTGGTGCAGAGTGCTGCCTGGTTCACCATCAGCCTCTCTGGAGCCAGTGGCAAGAGGCAGATTGGCTGGTCCAGGTGCTAGGAGAACAGTCCTTTTACCATTGGCCTTGGCATGCTGCCTTCCTCAGCACAAACCCCAGTGCATGGCCCAGAGAGCCAGCAACAGACATGGAGCTCAGCACCATCTCCCAAGCCATCTCACCGTTAGTCGGCCCCTGGAGTAGCGAACTGCCAGGAAAGTGTCATGGTTCCGATTTCGAAGATCAGCCGTGCAGCCTGCTAGCTCCGTCCAGCGCCCATCCTTACTGTGGTCGTAGGCCAGGGAGCCGTTATTCACCATGGCAGAGATGTATGGAAACACACGCTGCGGGGGCAGAGGAGAACAGTACTGCAAGCCGCCTGCAGGCTGGGAGTGGATTGCACTCCCTTTAAGGACAGGCATGCCCCACACAGGAGAACGGTCACACTGGCTCAGACCAGTGGTCCATTTAGGCCCAGAGGGAACCATAAAGTGACCCGCCCCTGTTGCTCATTCCCAGCTTCCCACAGGCCCGAGCACTAAGCCCCCCCGGCAGGGCCTGTGGCATCCCCTAGAGGACGAGGCACTCTGCCATGAAACAGACCTTCTGTTCCCTGGGGTACTGAATTTATGGCTTTTGCCCACCGGGGTCCAATGAAGAAGAGCAGCAGATAAGAAATGTTCTTTTCTAGGATAAGTTGACTTTAGGATGTGTTTTGTTGAAGGAAACAGATGCAGAGAGATCCTTCTGTCCAGTTCTTATGCCACCTGTGGCAAACGCTTCTTACTATTGGGTGGGCATGCAACTAGGCATAGGGATGTTAAAACATGGGTAATTGGGAAAACTTGTAACCGATGAAAATCTCAACAGTTACACAGTTACCAGCACCTGCAGAGTGGGGAAGCAGTCGCTGCACACTGGGAGCTGGCTTTTAATCCAGCTTCCAGCACACACTAGCTTCCAGGGAGCCAGCTGCTGCCCCGTGATGCTGCTGCTAATACAGAGGTAGCAGTGCGGGGTGGAGGAGAGGTCACTAAAAGGGCCCTGAAAGTGAACTAAAGCAGTTTATGTTTGAGGAGATGGAGAAGATGGAACTCAAGGCGTTAGCTACCCTGTTACCATGACAGCCAGAATATGTCATAAGACTTGCACGCACATAGGAGAATGGATGCGAATCAAAGACACTCCGCCGGGAACACAGATTTTGGATGGATTCCTGCCAGGCTAGATGCAGGCTTAAGAATTAGTATAGGAATGATTAGACAGGAGTTCCTTCCTTGTACTACTCTGCTCCATTTCCATGGAGCCTGTTGGTAATCAAGGGCAGCCTTAATCTGGCAGGATTTACCTATGATCTAGTAACAGACGTTTACTAAATCATTGTCGTAAGGGCTGGATGAAGCGAGGAAACTCTCAGGAAAGGATTTCTCTGACCTGTCGTTTTAAGTTTTTCCTATGTATAGCTAGTGAGTGGCGCAACTCACAAGGGTCATGTTTGTTCCTTGCTTCCCCTCCCTATGGCAGCAGGAAGGAGGCACCCTGTGAAAACAGGTTCTTTCTAGTCAGGAAACTGGGCCTGGGCTACTGACTGAACATGTCCTAAGCCTTCCCCCACTACATACAGCTCTTCCTCACCCTTCCACTGCCCCCCTGTACACTCAGGCCAGCCCCACAGCCCCTTGCCCACATAAGTGATGTGCCAAAGCCACACAGCAGGAAAAGATAGCTCCTTGATATGAGGCACAATGAACTCTGTCCATGCTGCCAGGAGTCTTGGGCCTCCTCAGGCTGTTACCTCTTACCTCTGTTGCTTCATCATTGGGGTATGTATCCAGGAAAATGGCCAAGCCATGGAAGTTATCTTTGCTGCCAAAGACAGGACCTAAAACAAGGCACAGAGTTAATAGAGGACACAGAGGCATCTCAAAAAGGGGCTATGCAGAACTACAAGCCACCCCCACTGTACATAAGGTAGATTCTTCACTTTTTCAGTAAACACGAGATGGAGAAGGGCACCAAGGACCAACCACTCTGCATTGTAGTGACCAGTCTCTGGTGAAGGTCACATCCCATTGTTAGCCAACAAATGTGTTACACATACTACTGACACCACCCTCATTATGTATGAAGTGAATGACATGGAAACTGTTGGACATCTATGCCAACTGGCTTGTACTGGTTTTACCCACAATGCTTTTCACTGGTCTACCCCATGATACCTTTGAACAGGGCAACTCAGCATTTACATAAGGGCTAGGAACACTGTCAAAGGCAAAATCCATTAATATTCTTCCAGGGTACAGGTCGGGCAGCTACTTTCATGGATCAATGCCTGGAATGCTAATATCCAGAACAAAGATAAAATAAGGGTACAGAACAACAAGTTCAGGAACTAGTACAAATGAGTGGGTTGAATCCAAGTTGTGATAAAATGCTTTGTAATAGACAGCAACCATTCTATACACAAGTGGTTTTGGGGGTGAATCTTTGAAACACACATTCTATGTAAGGTAAACATGCTGCAAACCAAGAATGGCTTCCCAGAAGAAGAGTAATATTTCATTTCTGTACTTTAAGGCTTTGTCTTTAGTCAATAGACTTGATTAAGTTTATTATTTGGACTAGTGAACATTAAGAGCAAACAATTAGCTATGCTTTTAATGAACAGACTACAGCAACTATTGAATCAGCCAGTGGGAGTTCATGAAATGCACCTCCCCAGCAAATCACATGCCTTTCATGCAGCCTCTGCCCAAGCAATGTGAATAAATACTCTTTAATTCATTGTTACAAGTAGCTTCTATAGAGGATAGCACTAATGGAGATCTTAGGTGCTAAAGAACAGTGAGACTTTTGATACCAAGAACAGCTGCAAGCGTCATGTGCTCTATGATGGGGCAAACCAACCCAGCTTCAGTCAGGGCAAGTCCTGAAGTGATGCAGACTCAGGACTCAGCACTCTAGCCCTCCATAGACTAAAAATGGAAATGTAGCTCAACACACGTTAGGAGTTAATTTCCCAGCCCTGAAAAAGGATTACATTTAGCTCCAAAGTTTGTGTCTGGCCAACAGAAGTGGGTCCAAAACAAGATATTGCCTCACCCACCTTGCCTCTCTGACTTTGAACATAGATACTGATGCAGACTCAGGACTCAGCACTCTAGCCCTCCATAGACTAAAAATGGAAATGTAGCTCAACACACGTTAGGAGTTAATTTCCCAGCCCTGAAAAAGGATTACATTTAGCTCCAAAGTTTGTGTCTGGCCAACAGAAGTGGGTCCAAAACAAGATATTGCCTCACCCACCTTGCCTCTCTGACTTTGAACATAGATACTTGGCAGCAGCTCAGTGTTACCTGACATACTAGTTACATTTCTCCCTCCGGAGCTGCTGCAAGAAGTTACTGAAAAGATGAAGCCAAGACGACAGGAACTTTGCCCCCTCGTCCTCCTGCAGCGGGAGGAAGCGCATGCACCACCGCCTGCAGCGTACCTGGCGTGAGGCGCTCCCGGGTATACCACAGGGCGAAGCCATCCCCATGCAGGTTCTTCTTGCCTGCGCCGTGGATCCTGAAGTGGACGTGGAGCTCCCAGTCCTTGAGGAAACAGGGCTGCAAGAGAGGGAGTCGCGCTCAGCCCCCACCGCCCGCTGCCCCCCGTGCTCTCCGGCCGCGGCAGCCCCGCTCACCACGCGGTTCCAGATGGAGCCCTCCCTGCCTGGCTCGTCCGGTGTCAGGCGCACGTACTGGCTGGTGAGCATGGTGCTGCCCTGGAAGTCCCACAGGGGCATGGAGCTGGAGCCGAGCCCTGGGGGGGGAGAGGCGGTGAGTGTGGCCCGGCCCAGCCCAGCCCGGCG